CGCAACCGCCGCCGCCGCGGCCGCCGCCCCCGCCGCCGCGGCCGCCGCCGCCGCCGCCGCCGCCGCCGCCGCCGCAACCGCCGCCACCGCCGCCGCAGCCGCCGCAGCCGCCGCCGCCGCCGCCAAGTGTACTCTGTATTGTTTTTTGACAGGGATGGTGGGGGGGGGCCGCATCGGGTTGGCTGCGCATATTCCGAATTTGGAGGCAGAGTGTGTTTTGTATTGTTTTTTTATGAGGGATGGTGGGGGGGGGGTTGGCGTGGACCCTGGTTGGCTCCCACTCGCCTGCGGGAGGGGGTGTTCAGTAATAGGGAACAGTGATAAACCCCTCCCCTAAGGGGAAAAAGGGGGGTGGAAAAGGAAACTCCCTAAATCACCTACGCCCAGAGGGCTGGTGGGATTCATGATTTTTGCCCTCTCGCCTTTTCGCTTGGGATGGGCTGCTGGGGCCTCGAGATCGCCCTCAAGAGTTTCTCATGATGCCCCAAGACTCTGCTAAGAAAACATCGAAGAGGCCGCAAGACGCCCCAAGGTCCCCATGAAGCCCACCAGAGGGTCTAAGAGGCTTCCAAGAGGCGCCAAGAGGCCGCCAACAAATCCCCCCGAGGCCTTCAAAATATTCCCAAAGGCCCCCGCGAGGCTTCCAATGATCTCCATGAGGCCCCAGGAGACCCCGAGCGAACCCAAGAGGCCCCCGCGAAGCTCCCAAGACGCGCCCAAAGGCCCCCTTCAAGCACCCAAAGAGCCCCAATGAGGCTCTACAAGGTCTCCGAGGGCCCGCTCGGATTCGACCGATCGGTTTTTTCGATTCACGTTCCCGGGGAGCTTCCACACTGCGCCGTCTTCGGCCCGTGTTGGGTCAGGTCTGGGTCTCTCGGACGCCGAGGCGGCCCAAGATGCCCTCCAGACGGCCCAGACTGCTCAAGATGGCCCCATGACGGGCCCAAGGTGTACCCGAGATGCTTCCCACAGGGCCCCAGGAGACTAACATCCTTCATCCGCCTGGGGAAAACCACATGTTTTTGATGGCCTTTCCTTTTGGTTTCCTATCGGCCTCCGACGCTAGCGGATGGTCTGCTGGGGGCCTCCGAGGCGCCCACGAGAGAGCCCCAAAACGGTCGATGGGGCGCCAGAACCCTTCAAGATGACCCCGGGCCGGCTTCGATGGTCTCCGCACGGCCCTCGACACCGCCAGCACGGGCCAAGATGGCTTACAGATGGCCCTGACAGGGTAAGATGTCCCCAAGATGGCCTTAGTACACCTACAAGACCCTTCGAAGAGGTCTCCTTGAGGCTCCCAGGACGCTTTCTAGACGCCCCCACCAGGCTCCCAAGAGCATTTCAATTCGGGCAAGACTGGTGTCCATATCCATTGCAGCTTGGAGCTGCTCCTTTCCCGAGAAGCCCGTGACGCACTGGATATGGAATCAACAGTTAGCCCCATAGAGGCTTGATTTTTATCCATATCCAGTGGTCCTCGGCCTTGCGGCGCCCCTTCCAAGAACGTCCAAGACGACGCGTTGGACATGCATGTAAATATTGCCCGCATTCAAGAGGCCTTCAGAATTCCCAAATTTATCAACTAGACGCCCCATCAGGCTCCCAAGAGCCTTCTTAGAGCCCCCAGAAGACACGAATGCGCCAATGACGTAAGGGAAACCATGTCTTTGTGACGACCTCGTCTTTCCGCTTGCGATGAGCCTCAGAGCTTCAGGATTATCAAAAATGGCCCCAGAGGATCCCCCCAACGCCACAGCTGATTTGCAGAGGACCCCCCCCCCCTGGGGTTACACCTACCGCCCAATGGGCCAAGATTCTTCAAGAAACTAGAGAGCACCGCACTTTTTACCGATTCCGAATTTTGGAATTGCGATGGACTTGCAATCCTGGTGCTGCCTTGCCGACGACAGCGGATTTCTCTGAGGCCTCCCCAGCAACGTCTGGCCGACGACGATGATAATCTTCGTGACGATTCTACTTCTGACGATGCTGACGATGGGGAGGACGCCCATGATGAATGCGACGATGACAGTGGCGACACTCGCTCTGATGACAATGTTTACCACCCCGCCAGTGGCCCCAGAGCTGGGAAACAAATAAGAACGCCTTCAAACAGCCCAACGGGACGACTTCGGAGGCATGCATAGGGCTCCACACGCATGGGGCTCCACTCGCAGGAGTTCACGCACACACGGGGTTCCACACATGTTGCACGACTGAGCTGTGAACGGTTTTGGGTCCATGCGCCTGCGTGCTTCGAAAATCCATGTGTAAATATCGTAAAGGCCTTGCGGCCGGTGCCGCCGACCCTGGAGGGGGAGCCCGAGGCATCTGGGAGGCAAGGACTAAAAGGGGAAAGCTTCCCCCAGGGAGGGGTGCTCCCCCACGGGGGGGCAGTCACAACCGCCAGGGCCCCCCACTGCCCCCCCCGGGCCTTCCCCACCCCGTCCACCCATCCCCCCCGCGACCCCCCCCCCCCTTGGCGGGGAAAGGATCAAAGGGAAGGGGCTACCCTTCGACTCGATTGCGACGCTGCCTGAGTTCTCTTTGGCTGGGGCGCTGTCATCTGCGGTGAAGTCCCCGTGGGCCCCGTGGGCCGCCCTGGGGCCACCGGTAATGATTCCGAATGCGTCCGGGGAGCCTTTCCGAAGCGGACGAGTCCGCCAGGGTTCTTCCGCCGGCCTCCCTTCCGAGTCTGTTGGACGCGGCTCCCAGGGGAGGGGTCCAGGGAGGGGGTCCACAGCCTGACGCGTGCCGCCGTCCACTCTGTTCGCGTCGCAGGCTCCCTCCTCCCTCCTTCCTCCTCCCTGGGGCTCCGTTCTGGAGCGGCAGGCGTGAGCAACACGGGGTCGCGCGGCCCCGCTGGGTCACGGGGCCACCGCGGGGCCGCGCCAGCCGCGTCGGGCTCCCGACGGCTCTCCCGCGGGGCTCGTCCAAAATCCGCCTGTAGTCGGCGTCACCCCAACATACTAATACTGTACGTGCGTCGCCCCCCCCCCCGAGGGGCGACGCGCGCACCGAGGAATCTCATGGTGTATGCGTCGTGGCGGGCGCTTTCTTGCCACACCGCTTGGGAAACGATCTACTGCAGGATGGGTATAACACTGCATGGTCGGGTCGGGCCCGCGCCTCCGAGGAGGACACACGGTGTCAGTATGTCCCTGTGCGTCCCATGTATAGGGGGCCACCTGCGAACCCTACCCCTACCCCCCACGATTTCTGAGGGGGAGGGTGGGGTCGGGCTGGCATGTGGCCCCCTAGTGTGGCGAAAGTTTTTTTTTTGTTTTTTGTTTGTTTTTTTTGTGTGTATCTATCTGTGTGTCCTTGGGCCCCCTCAGATTAGGATGACAGGCCCGACCTCACCGCAGGGCCGCCCCTCCGGGGGCGCCCGGCCGGCGCCTCGCCTCTCGCCCCGCCTCGCCCAGGGGGCTCCGCGGCGGCCCCACCCCCCCCCCGCTGCAGGCTGCGCGCGCGCCGCCTGCGGCCCCAGCCGCCGAGCGCTCTCGCGAGCCACGGTCCGCTCGGGCCTGTCCCTCTACGGGGGGAATATTGAAAGGTAGTCAAGAATGTGGTCCGGGGGACGATTCTTTCACCATTTTTGAGTACGTTTTTGGGGTATTTTTCCGGGGGGTATTTTTTCCCCCGTCCAGAATCGGCCTGTAGGGGGACGTGCCCGACCTCAGCCTGCGGCCCCAGCCGCCGAGCGCTCTCTCGAGTCACGGTCCGCTCGGGCCTGTCCCTCTACGGGGGGAATATTTCAAGAGAGTCAAGAATGTGGTCCGGGGGACGATTCTTTCACCATTCTTGAGTACGTTTTTGGGGTATTTTTCTGGGGGGGTATTTTTTTTCCCCGTTCAGAATCGGCCTGTAGGGGGACATGCCCGACCTCAGCCTGCGGCCCCAGCCGCCGAGCGCTCTCTCGAGCCACGTGTGTGGAGCCGCGGTCTCTCGAGCCCTGCTGCCTTCCCATCCTTGCACGCCGGTCGCTGAAAGGAAGTATTTCTCAGAGGAGGGAAGCGTATACGTACCGCTGCCCTTCCCTCGTTTTTTCTCCTTCTTGGACCTCCTGGGAGGCTCTCGTTGCCACCGCTGGATTCGCTTCGAAGTTTTGGTCAGAACGCACCCCGGGAGAGGTCTGAGGAGTCGCTCTGGCATGACAATTTCTGGATTCCCAGATCCCAATCTACTTCGGGCGCATTCCTTCTTCAAGAATGTGTGCATGTGTTTTTGCCGTGTTTGTGATTCTTTGGGCGGGCCCGAAGCTAATTTATTTTATCCGCCTTACCACTTCATGCATCAACGTACTTCTCCCGACTGGCGGCTATCCTCGTGGCTGATTGGATTCCGCTTGACAATTGTTTTCCTCAATATGTTGGCGCCGCCAGCGCCAGGAGGCGCCAGAAAGATTCGCTAACCCCCCTGCGCTAGTCTTCCCCTTTCGTCCGACTCGATGAGCGCTCTTGAGCCACTGATGGTTAAAAACCCTGGGGGGGCGTTTTTTGTCGTTATCGACTTTTCCGTTTCTGGCCAACCAGCAAGGGAAAACACCGGCAGCCCAAACCAGAGATAAAGGCGGCAGAACAACACGGAACCGAACCGAACGCGGCGCGGACGAGAATCCCCGAACGGAAAAAGCAAGACCCCACATGGCAAACCAAACGTCGGCACTGAAGCGGGCAAAACGTCCCGAGCGTTTTTCACATCACCTCGCTCACAACACCCCACGTAACGACACTACGCCGACATCCACATCCAGGACTTCCCTCCTCCCCTCCTCCGTCGCAGATTTGTTTTTTATTGTCTCGCTGTCCATATGCATGATCGCGTGTAGTCCATATGTACAGGTTTGAAGAGGCTACGGCCTCCTCCACCAGGTCTCGAGCAGGCCCGGACAGCTGTCCGCAGTGGTGGTTCGTTCGTTCGTTCGTTCGTTCGCTCTCTCGTGGCTGGTGCTCCGCTCGCCGGCGCCTCGGGCAGCCGCGCTCGCCCTCGCCGGCGAG